TAATAGATACTTTGGCCAATATAGATCTTTAGGCAGAGCTTGCCCGCTTTCATTTATTCAAATGAAGAACTTCACATGACCTTGTAATCCTTCTCCGTACATTTCTTTCAGCCCTTCCTCGTCCAAGCTATGCATCGAGTGAACAAACACTACATCCAGTCGTTTTAAAAGGGCAATGCCATTATCACGAAGGGTACGCGGAGAGCGGCGTCTAGATCGTACCATACGTGCAAAGAGACCGTCATCGGCTTCAATGCATCGCTCTAGAGTCAGTGTTTCCAAGAACGGGCAGAGGGGCTTCGGGCTTCCTTCTCCATGGAACGTGAGGAGGTTGATTATTCTATTCTTGACTGCCCCGTAGTAAGTTGGTCTTGTTGCATTCCTTAAGATTTCAAGGGTGGTGATTGATTCAGAGAGAAGTGTAAGACGATCGAGGAATTCGTCTTCTAAAATCTCAATGTTTCTAAGCGTCAAAGAAGAGAGTCGAAGACGAGGCTTGGACAGGATGTCGGATAGATTGTCATGAGTAATCTGCACGTAGCCAATGGAAAGACTCGTGAGGTTGCATGCATCTAAAAAACGAAAAAATAGTTCCACATTTTCTCGATACCCCGGATCCGGATAGATCTTCATCGTCAAGAATTTAATCGGAGACGTGACAGATTTAAGTGATGGCCCTTTGATCCAGGGCGAGTCCAGTGCTATCGTTAGACAGTAACTGTGGAGATTGACAGCCCTTCCCAGCAACGTCAGAGCGTTGGCCGCATCTGTGGGGTTGACGACTTCAAGATTTCTCAACTGCTCCCAAGGAAAATAACCGGGCGGCAAGTCGGCCATATAATATTCTCGCTGATTACTAGTAAAGCTGCACAAGGCGGGGCATCCACGCAGTAGCCTTCCATAGAAAATGTGATCCCGTTCATAGGTATCGCAAATCACTTCAACACTTTCCAAGATAGGAGCGATGAAGGTATGAGGGAGGTTCCAGACATGCATTGGTTCGAACCAATAACCAAACCCGAGAGAAATACGACGCCACCGGTGCGAGTGAGCTAGCAGAAGTGGTAGAATAGCTTTTACGGATGTAGACTCCTCAGGACTGAACCACTCCCCTATTACTGCGAAAGAAAGTGGCCAACTTCGGGATCGGTCAAGCCAGGTGGAGACTTTCGAATACGAGGGGAGTGATTTCTGTGAAGTGCAAATCGAGCCGCGGATGATTTCAATGAAACTCCAAAGTTCGGGAGTGGATACCGCGAGGTCGTTCCAAAGTTTACACGTCAGACAAAGGGTAGCTAATCCGTTGTCGATTCCTTCTGGCTTCAGATCTTGATAGTATGACATGAAGATAAGGCCCAAAAGTTCCGGAGGCAGGCCATTTATGTTGGGCATTGTGGGATGTAGTCAAGTTCTTGGATGAGCTGGCGCCG